GTGTGTATATGTCTGTCAGTGTGTGTGTATATGTCTGTCAGTGTGTGTGTGTATATGTCTGTCAGTGTGTGTGTATATGTCTGTCAGTGTGTGTGTGTATCTATGTCTGTCAGTGTGTGTGTATATGTCTGTCAGTGTGTGTATCTATGTCTGTCAGTGTGTGTGTGTGTATATGTCTGTCAGTGTGTGTGTATATGTCTGTCAGTGTGTGTGTGTATCTATGTCTGTCAGTGTGTGTGTATATGTCTGTCAGTGTGTGTGTGTGTATCTATGTCTGTCAGTGTGTCTGTGTGTATCTATGTCTGTCACTGTGTGTATCTATGTCTGTCAGTGTGTGTGTATATGTCTGTCAGTGTGTGTGTGTGTATCTATGTCAGTGTCTGTCAGTGTGTGTGTGTGTATCTATGTCTGTCAGTGTGTGTGTGTGCATCCATGTCTGTCAGTGTGTGTATGTATATGTCTCTGTCCGTGTGTCTGTGTGTATCTAAATGTCTGTTAGTGTGTGTGTCTGTCTGTTAGTGTGTCTTTGTGTGTCTTCTTCCCTATCATTGTGTATGTGTGTCTGTATGTCACTGTGTGTTTATCTGTATGTCTGTCAGTGTTTGTGTGTACCTGTGTGTCTATCTGAATGTGTATCAGTTTGTGTATATGTATATCTGCATGTGTCAGTGTGTGTATCTTTGTGTATGTGTATCACAGTGTGTGCGTGTGTGGCAGTGTATGTGTATATGTGCATATATCTCAGCATTCAAACACAACACTACACACAAATAAACACCTACATGCAAACGTCAACACTACAAACACACCCCTGCATTCAAATGTCAACACTACATACAAACACACCTCTGTATCAGACACCAAAATTATATATAAACACACACCTGCATTCAAAAACCAACACTACACATAAATGCATGCTTGCATTCAAATGCAAACACTACATACAAACACACCGCTACAATCATACAAACATACTCCATACAAACACATGCTTACAGTCAAACACACAAATACTGCTCCATGCTAAATACAATCCTGCAAGCATGGGGAATCGGTAGAGCCCCAGCTTTCAAAGCATTGTTGAAGTTGCACGACAGATGGGGATCTATCTTTTAGCCATCCTGTGTACATACACAGACCGTCATACAGAGACATACAGTATGTATGTCTCTGTATGACTGTGTAAATGTATTCAAAAGGAATAAACGCAGGCAACACTCCAATAGTAATGATGGTATATTTATTGATAGGTGAACCACCCCAAAGAAAGTGCGTCGTTTCGGCTCAGCAGAGCCTTATTGCATGAGCTGAAACATCACACTTTCTATGGGGTGGTTCACCTACCAATAAATATACCATCCTTACTATTGGAGTGTTGCCTGCGTTTATTCCTTTTGAAGACTTTACTGGTGGATCCAGCAATGTCTGCCTGACATGGAGCATCCACCTCTGTTGATGGCCGGAGCATTTACACGGTGTCAGTGTGCAGGGTTCTTTGTTTGTCTGTGTATGTATGTCTCTGTATGCCTATCTCTGTTTCTTTATGTCTGTGTATGTATTTCTGTGAATGCCTGTGTCTGTATGAATGTATGTCTGTGTTTGTACGACAATGTACCTGTATGTGTAGATTGTATGACTGTGTTTGTTTGTGTGCCTTTTATGACTGTGTGTCTGTATATCTTTGTGACTGTGTGCCTGAAAAATTATGTCTGTGTGCTTGTATGGTTGTGTGTCTGTATGTTTGTGTATTTGTGCATGTATGTATTTTAGCCTGTATCTATGTCTATGTGGGAGAAAAAGAGAGATAGATAGGGGCTGGCGGGGAAGTAAGAAATACATAAGAGGGGTTGTAGGAGACACACTAAAGGGGGGTGTAAGGCACAAAGGGGCCAAAGGGGTAAGACATTCAAGAGAGTGGATATGCAACACTAATGGGGGTAAGAAATTCAAAAGGGGGCTACGAGACACAGAGGTGAAGATGCATTGTTTATTTATTTTTGGGGGGGGGGGGCGTCAAAATGCATCTTCGCCTGTGTAGTCAAAAATCCTAGCACCGGCCCTGACTTGTGTAAACATTTCAATATGTTTATTTTACTGATCTGCACTATTAATTTCTCTTTTATATCTTTTGTTTTTGGTTGAAAGAATCAGTTTTGTTGCATAAGTATTGCTAAGCATGTTTAGCATTGTTTAGTGCATAACACTTTTTTTTCTTTATTTGCACTTTGAAGTTTATTGCATTGCACTTAATTTATAACATATTTACTGTTGGAAGGTTTACTGTGCACTCTTTTTATGTACTTTCCCATTACACCCTATTTCCTATATACCATCCTTATGATCCACTAAATGCACAGTTGCGTACAGTGATATGTGGTGTCATTTAAATTGGGCGTCCTCTCCAACATAACTCCACCTGCCTACATGACTTTTACCTTGATTGTATTTTAATCCATTTCTCCTTTTCTTTTTTTGTGATGTTTCATATGTATGCATTGAATAATAATTGTGCGCGTTGTTTTACCTGTGTACTTTTAATTTGAAAATAATAAAGTTTGACCTAAAAAAAAATATAGATATCTACAAAGATAAAAACCTTTCAGGAAATTGAACTACCATTTTTGATACGAATAGTAAAAGGAGAGGAAAGGCAATATTAACATTGTCTAGGAGATGGATTACTTTCATGGCTACTAAAGCATGCAAGACTTCCAAACCCTTCAGGAGTGAAATCCCATTCAAGAAGAGCTATAGCAGCTCCACGGATAGCTTGGTGGAGCTCCGTTCAGAGATCATTTGTAGAGCATCAATGGAGCCATCACAAAACACCTTTGTGAAAGATTAGATGTGGCAGGTTCAAGTCTACTAAAGTTTGGACAAAGTGTCCTATAATCAATTTCTCCTTCATACAATTTGCATGGTTATTGCAGTGTTTTGTTTTTTTGACAAAAATATTCTTCTCCTGCCCTTTGTTTGTCTAGGTTGATATTACCCAGTGGTAAAGCTGCTACGGTTATCCCCAACACTGACCTGCTTTTGTACTAATAAAAATAACTCTATTACGGCCAGCCAAACTAACATATTTTGGCAAGTTTTGATAGTCTTATAAGTAAGTGCTGTGTACCCTACGTATCGTGGGCTGCTATAACCCCAACCAGCACAGCATGATGAGTTATTCATAACTTTTTTTTCTATTATTTAAATTTCTCTACTTTTTATTCAGAGGATAACATATCTCCATCCTCCAAGAACATATCAATATAGTGAGCAGAGTGAACATGATAGAGGGTGATGTTGATGCAGGGCAGCAGGCCTTGATAACCAGCATCCAGGAGGACTAGACCTACTAGAGGACTTGGATGTTGCAGAACCTCTACAATTTCTTTGAATATTTATTGATTGTCCATTTTAATGACACGTGACACATAGTCTGCGTTCTGAAGCCCTAAGGCTCCTCTATCAATAAAAACCGTCTTGAGGATGCAACATTCTTAAGAATTACCAGGACATAAATCCATATAAATTAGACACTAGAGGGATGCACACTTTGCTTGCAATATCACAAACATTGCCAACTGGCATTAGTTAAACCAAACAGTTATGCAACTACTTTTGGCTAAGAACATTCAATATAGATGTGGCATGTACTTATGTAGCATAATGAGGACATTGTATAGTTGAAAGAAAAAAATCCTGCCTTCAAAAAAACAGAAGCTACAATTTGGCTACACAACTGAAACATCGGCTCGGTCCAAATTGAACCTACACCAATGAAACACATCTGGTTTATCCCGGCTATGGCCCAGTCAATGACCTATAAAGCCATGGTCATTTAAATATCAGAATACCTTTTATCCTACATGTCCTACTACTGTGCTAACAATATAACATTTGGTCCTATGGTTTAAATGATGCACTTCATTGGAGTCATTCTTAATTTTGTGTTGTGCTTACAATATAGTATTCTATGATTTTTTTTCTTTTTGTCTTTAATATTTTACTGTAGAGATGTTGGCATTCTATTTGTTTTGAGAACCTGGAGGGGTCTTATTTCATCCACAGTTCTTTTGAGTAGAGGGGTATTGTTTTATTCTGTTTGTACCCCCTCATTGCGTGCTTTCCACTATTGCTAGAGGGCGTTTGAGTTGTTTGGTTTTTTTTGTCATTTAAATATTAGACTGCTGTTTAGAAAATTAGGGTTAGTTTTTGTCACGCACCGATTCATATTTGCACGTTTTATTTCTGTACTATTTACTTTCTCTATTATTTGCAGCAAGTGTCAACTACTCAGAGTTTGTGCTGCTAGTAAATTGCATTGTCCGCCAAGCGCTGCGCAATTTGCTGGTTTTCTAACAGTAAATTCTATAATAGTCTGTGAATGGAGGTTTATGCACACTCAATCTTTATTAAAGGTGTGATATTCTCCTCAGGTGATGGCTCTATTATCAGTGACAGCCATGTACAGGTAGACTGCCTCCAGTGTGGACTACAACTACTCCTGCTATTCACAATGAGCAGCAGTGCTAAAACTCTGGACATTTAATGTGCCTTCACAACCACTACTTTGACTACATTTCCCATGATGCTCAGCCAGGTTAAGGGAGGGAGGGGGGGGTGCTAACCACGAGCCCCAGCGCGAGCTCCGAGGCAGAACACTGGCTGGGCGTGTCTCTCCCCACGCGCACATCCTACTCCCTCCCAACCGCGTGCGGCGGGAATTGAGCGCGCAAACCCCCCCCCCCTTCACTCTTTCCTCCCACGTGACACGCACCCATGACGCTGCTCTTTATCATCGCCCCCTTACCACCAACAACAACCATATTCCACCCTCTCGTCCAATCGCCGCCTCGCATCCTCGATGACGTCAGGCCAGACCTCCCCAACGCCCCCTCTGAAGCGAACGCTCCACCCTCCGCGGGGAGGTGAGGGGGGGAGAAGGTGTGGGCGGTGCTCCGGCGTACATAGTCTATGTATGGCAGGCCCCGCCCCCTGGCCGTGCTAGCTCCCCCTCTGGCAGGTAGGTGGTGCCGTCTCGTGTCCAAGAGCGGGAGCGCGTGTTGGTGCCGAGCGCAGTGCGTCCCTCCCCCTCCTTTCTCTCGCAGTCTCTCTCACACACAGGTCGGGAGCGAGATCTTCTCTCAGTGTGCAGCAGCAGCCCAGCCAGCAGCAGCGGCCATCGCGCCATCTCCTCCCGCTCAGGGCCGCTCCAGCCTCCCAGCACCGCCGCCGCAGCAGGAAGGAGGGGATCCATCGCCCGAGGCGCTCCGTCTCCCCCCTCCCTCCCTTCCCAGGAGCGGTCCCTGCACCGCCTCAGCGAGGAGCTTCCTCCCTCCCCCCCCCTTCCTGCAGCCAGGCCCGAGCCTGCCAGCCCTCGCCGCGCTCTCTCCCACACACGGCCCCAGCATGTCGGCGCCGGCGGCTAAAGTCAGTAAAAAGGAGCTGAACTCCAACCACGACGGAGCGGACGAGACCTCAGGTGAGACCCGGGCGGGGAGAGCGGGAGGCAGGGAGGGGGGTGGGGGGGAGACTCGGCCTCCGCAGCCAGCGCCATTTTCCTGATCCCCTCAAGGTGGGCTGTGGGGGGGAGGGCAGCCGGGAGGCCTCGCTCGGCCCTGCGGATCCCCGGCCTGTCCTGCGCTCCGTGTCCGCCTGCGGAGAGGGGGGGCCGGGGCAGGGCGCGCGGTGAGGGCCCGCGATGCGCAGGAAGCCCGCGGCTCATTGTCCTCCGCCATGATGTTTCCGTCCCGCATGGCGCAGGCCGAGGAGGAGGAGGAGAGCGGGCTCCGAGCCGGGGACCGAGCCCGAGGGATCGCTGTCTGGGGCCCACGCCTGATCCCGCGGCCTATCCACGTGGGTCCCCGGGGCCGCCTGTTTTTGTCCTTCCCGCTGTGCCCTGGAGGCCTCCCCGCTGCTCTTTAAATGGCTGGTGACAGCCTCCCCGGGGGGGATCCCGCCAGATCACAGCCCGGGCCCCACGTGGGACTCCGTGTTTACCTGTGTCCGGCGTGGATCTCACACAGCATGGCTCATACAAATACTACAGGGCTTTAACATGGGGAATCCACTGGCAATCATTCATTCCATCATTTATTGTGCAGGCCCAGTCCATTCATCAGCCGTATGGATAGAGTTACTGTAATTATTCGGGGAATATATATACAATATAGACCCAACATTGGGACACTTGTTTTATTGTTAAATGTGTCATTTAATTTTGTTTCAAACTACTTTTTGATATTTACAAAGCAATGTATGTAGCAAGTAGCTGCCCTATTATTTTCATTGTCTGCTAACTAATCTATTTTGGTGAGCTATAAATAAATCCGTAAAAAAAACAGTTGAAATGGAACACAGTGGTTTGGTTAAGAAATACTTTGACTATTGTGTATTACCTTGTATCGTGGCTAGTTGGTACAACAATTGTTGTGCTAAGTATGATCAAATACTGTAATGACAATTTCTGAGTGGATTGGTCGTAGTCGAGGCTAACGTCTTAACCCTGCAAACAAATATTTTTACAAAAGCGTAAATCATATAGGTTGAATGAAATCAGAAATGTTATTTTCGCAATAGTTACTGTAAATATGGTACTAACTTGTTAGGCAGGGGGAAAGTAAATTGTTTTTGTGTTGAATAATGAGCATGTAATATTAATCTTAATCCTTTTTTCCTATTGTAGAAAAGGAGCAGCAGGAAGCCATTGAGCACATTGATGAAGTACAGAATGAAATAGACAGGTGTGTAATAGTGTTGTACTGTGTTTAGATGATTTGACTTTAACTGTTGCTAAAGTGTGAAAACTAGCTTATTTCTATTGTATTGTTGTTTAACATAATGTAGAACTTTGGGTGGAGAGTAGCACGTGCATAATACTTGTCATATGCATGTGTACGTTGCCCATCCAATAGAAAGACATGGAACAGTAGCTGTAACTTCTCTTAACACATATGTCCAAACTTTCCTGGGTCTTCCCAATTATAGAACACAAGTGAACTTACTAGTCTTTCTGATAAGCCAAGAGCAGTGTTAAAGGAAAAACTAACTTACATATTTTGTGCTCCTGTTCCTATTTTCATGCTCAAAATTACTTTGTAACATGTTCAGTTTCTTAACCTCTTTTTATTTTTATAGACTGAATGAACAAGCCAGTGAGGAGATACTGAAAGTAGAACAGAAATATAACAAACTCCGCCAACCATTCTTCCAGAAGAGGTCAGAGTTGATCGCCAAAATCCCAAATTTCTGGGTTACAACATTTGTCAACCACCCACAAGGTATTTCCTTCTTGCAAATTAAGCCTAGCATGTTTTGCATATCCGACAAACTTAGATGAAATAATGTTCCCCATCATTTAATGAGGAAAAAATAAGCTCTACAAGCATGTTTGCTCTAATGTCTTGTTTGTGTTTGGGACCAAGTATGCATTTTATTAAACTGTTATTTGAATGTGGATTTAAGAATTCTTGTATATTCTTTTAGTATCTGCACTGTTGGGTGAGGAAGATGAAGAAGCACTTCATTATTTGACACGGGTGGAGGTGACAGAATTTGAAGACATAAAGTCTGGTTACAGAATAGATTTTGTAAGTATAAGTGTATAAACATGGTATCTGTCAGATTTTCTATTTCTGATAATGTGTACGATTGCAAATACGTTATGCATGTCCGCTGTAATTAAATACTTTGGCAATAACATGTCTGCGTTTTTGATTTTAAAAGTTAGATATATTGTTTATGTTCACTTGTAGGTAGTTTGCTTGTTAATGTGCTCAGCGAGACCTTTTTATTCATAAGAGGTTTTCAGCCCAATATATATTATCTAAATATTTTTTATTTATTTCTCAGTATTTTGATGAAAACCCATATTTTGAAAACAAAGTCCTGTCTAAAGAGTTTCATTTGAATGAATCTGGAGATCCATCTTCAAAGTCAACAGAGATAAAATGGAAAGCTGGAAAGGTAAGCTTGTTTCCTCAAATCTATTCCGCCTAAATGGGTTTTTAAAGAAATATAGAATTGTTCATTCAGAATAGCTTGTAAAATACAAACTGCACTGTGTGTGTGTGTGTATGTATATGTGTGTGTATGTGTGTGTATATATATATATATATATATATATAATTATTTATTTATTGTAGGGGTTGTCCATGCAAAGTTATAAAACTAATGTAGCATGGCCATCTTGTCAGAGTTGCTGTCTGATTTTACAATTTTTAACTTGATTTTCTTTTATCTAATCCTCTTCAGGATCTGACAAAACGTTCCAGTCAGACACAAAATAAAGCCAGTCGGAAGAGGCAACATGAAGAACCAGAAAGTTTCTTTACTTGGTTCACAGACCATTCTGATGCAGGTGCAGATGAGCTAGGAGAGGTCATAAAGGATGATATCTGGCCAAACCCATTACAGTACTATCTGGTGTGTATATATTTACTTATCTTGACTTTGTTGTGGTGCATGTTTTCTCTGAATTTGTGAGTGACACATAACGTGTTAAGAGGATGAATGTGAAGGAATATAGAACTTTGGTATAGATGCATTTGGATACAATGATGTTCTAAGTTGAGATGTAATTTTTGGTTGAACAGGTACCAGACATGGAAGACGAAGAAGGAGAGGGTGAAGAAGAAGATGAAGATGATGAAGAAGAGGAAGGACTCGAAGATATTGATGAGGAAGGAGATGAAGATGAAGTGGAAGGAGAGGAGGAAGATGATGATGACGAGGAGGGAGAAGATGCAGAGGTATAAACAAAGATCTGGCTTGTATATTTTAAAATGTAGTTTTGTTTTTCTGCTGCTAATTTAATTCAGATTGTTCATGGAAGGGTGTCCGAAATATAGTTTACGTAAGGTCACTGTAAGTACTATATGTGCTTCCTTTTTTTTCAAATTTTTTTTATTTTTTTTTTAAATTGGTTAGTGTCTGCCATCCTTTTTGGTGCCGTCCCTACACCCGGTGTTAAACTATGTACAGTCAATTTAACACTAAGGGTTCCCAGTAGCCTACAGCCCAGCCCTTACTGGAGGGAGGTATGGCTTATAAAAGGATTGCACATTTTCTTCTGTTCATACCCAGTTATGGGTACTGTCATAGGCTAAAAGTGGTCAGCCCCCACTCTCAACCAAGAAGGTCCATTTGTAGTTCAGACTTATCATTCCTTATTGACCCAAGCATTACAGAGGGAGGGATGCTGGGGACTCTAGCATTAAATCCAGTGCTACAGTGTCCGTTTGTTGCTACCCATAGGAATGATGGCTCAAAAAGCTAATGTTGAAATGAAATTTGAAGTTTTCAATTACCAGTGCATAATGTTCTTTACAATGTGATGCTGTTGCATGTTTTGTACAGTTTTGCATTTTACATTTGATTACATTTTGATTCCAGTTTACTTAATAGTCTTTCTTTCCCTTTTGCAGGAAGATGAAGGCGAAGATGATTAAATGACCACGTTTGGATTTCACCCCTTTTTTTATTTTATTTTTTTATTCAGCCCCGGGAGCAAGATGCTATTGTAATTTTTTTTTTTTTTTTTTTTTTTTTTCCTTTTTGGTTTTTTTAATCGTGTGCTCAATCGCCTTGTTCTCTTGGTCCTTTTTTCCTTACCTTTCTCCCATGGTTCTTTTTTTTTCCCTTTGGGGGAAGGGTTGAGAACCAAGTAAAATGCAGTGGAAATCTCTAACCATATTTTGTCCCCATGTCCTTTCTCCTATTCTCCAACAAACTACAAACTGTAACATCCTATGGTCTGTGGGGCATGAATGCGTCTTGGCTGCCATCTTGAGTGCAAGCCAGGAAGTGTTAAACCCTGTGTGATAGTTCATAGCAATCTAGTGTTTATCCTTTAATTTTTATTTTGTTTCCTGTGTATATTGGGCTAAGAGGTTACACTGTGTTTCCATGTGAATACGGACCGATAACATACCAACATGTAACAGTCTAATTTTTTTTTCTCCTTGTTTAAAAAATGATTAAAACGTAAAAATAAAAAAAAAAAATATTGGGGTGGGTTAGTCAGTTGGGTGGGTTTTCAGACAGCGGGAGGGGGTTGGGAGGTTTAGGTTGGGCATTTTGGAAACATGGCGCTTTTTTTTTCCTTTTTTTTTGGCATGTTTGTGATTTACAGGACATCCATGCAGTTTAACACACTTTTAAAAGAAAGTCAAAATAAACATCATAACGGCTGCCAGCTCTTCAGGACCTTACAGGACGTTATTGGAAACAGACAGTCTCAAATATAACTTTTTTCTTTTTTTTTTTTTTCTGGAAAGGAAAATGATCAGTTTTAAACGTTAAAGTGTACAAGTTGCTTTGTTACAATAAAACTAAATGTGTACACACATACCTGCTGGTTTTCACTTGGATGCTACCTCCCTTCCCTCCCTCTTCCTTTTCATATTAGTTTTGTGCTTCCCTCTCCCCCCTTTTGATTAAGACTTCTATTTAATGTTTTTGATACAGGGCATTTTGTAGTAACCTTCAAACTTTCCAGCCTAGCAATCAATGTCTTGCCAGGCTGAGATTCTCAACATACAGTCAGCACCTCTTCACTCCATTGAGAATGGAGTTTTTGTGGTAATTTTTGTAATTTGCTTGGCGAAAGTGTTTTAGTAGGCACTTAATCTGATTCCTAGTCTGTTATAAATCTACATTTTTGCTGTCAGATTTTGCCTGTTAATCGACACTACAAAATAAAGTAAATTGGTGTGATCTGTATATTCTATTCATTGAATTTTATGACTCTGTCTGACATGGGGTGTGGTGTGTCTGACAAACCATAGTCCCACCTTGAGCAACGTTTAAAAAAATAAATATATGTATATTCATAAACTTTGGGCAGCTTCACCAAGAACAACTTTGTGTATTAAGTCTTGGATTCTCAGGCTAATGTGTATAGATTAATTTATTTACTTTCTAACTTTGATTTCAAAGGTTTTTTTTAAATTTTTTTTACTTCTTTGCTCTTCTACCCCATGTCCCCTGTGGACAGAAAAAATGCATGTACAACTGAGAAATGTATAAGTTAGCACTATAACGAGTAAGCAAAACAAATCAATCTGCTAGTTCTACAATCAGTGTTGATGATACAGTTGATAAGGAAACAAACATTTCCACCATTTTGAAGAAAAATCTATCCAACATATTGGACAGACGGTTCAGTCAGCTGGAGTGTGCCCTTCTTGACGAATTGAAATATTGATTGCTTCAGGCTGGATTGAAAGGAAATAGAGGACTGCTTAGGTGGTAATTCTTGTTTAGGAAGGTTTCTAAACAAAGGGATACAAGTCTAACAAGACTATACCCCTATTCCTGTAATATTCAAACTACTATAATCTGTGTCAGATGCCAAATAATTTTATTCCATTTTCAGGGTTATTTTAGTAAAGTGAGAATTCAAAGGGAATTCCAAATTTTATTTTTTTTTTGGCCCGGTCCAAATCTTGGTCGTTTTCGACCATTTCAAATATCTTTGTAGCCGAACCCAAAATGTCTAATACCTTATCCTGGCAGTTGCACAGGGAAAAATTCAAACTTTTATTAGGTTTCCAGCCTGTCTTACTCAAGAACTGCACAATTTTTGGGTCAACTGCAGGTGTTCTGCAGGCATCATCTGGCACCGTGGGCTGAGGGCATTCTGCCTGGAGTTTGTTTTGCGTCGCCTTGTCCAAAGGTTTGCGTACCCTTGACGCTACATATCTCGCCACATGGTCCGAGGGTGACCATTCCGCTGACTGTGGGGGGCGCAGATCAGGGTCAAATAGGGGTTCCCCATGGGGGTCCAAAATTGTATCAGAGTTTCCTGGGGCTTTTTTCCCCACCTCATAAATTTCCGGTTGAGGTGTATTACGGTCCTTGGAGGGATCGTATTCCTCGGCTAGGCTATCAGATTCAATATCTGATGGATCTTCAGAATCTATATAGGCCTCCTCTTCAATATCGCTGAGATCCGACTCAGAATCTAGCTGGACTTTTTCCCATAATCTAGCTGATTTTGCCCAGCTAGTGGCTCTTTCGCGTGGTGGCAGATTAGTCGCGCCATCTGTGACAGGTGCATCGCTGTCCATCTGTGATATTGAGGAGTGCTTCACCTTAGCTAAGGCCTTACGGCCAGCGTGAGGTTGTACAGGGGAGGTGACCTGGGTAATAGCCGGCTGAGCCGATTTCTGTGCCTGAATCAGGGCATGTGTAAGTGTCTGTGATAGGGAGTCAGACATCAGTCCCATGGCCGATGTAAGGGCTTTAGTCATGGCCTGTTACATAGTCTTGTCAATCAGTCTGCATGTCAGCAGAGGTATCAAATTTAATTGGAGAGCCCAATATGTTGTCAGGTGCACCGGGAGGTGCCTTACAGGCCCCCTTCATTGGGGGTATGAGCATCCTTGTCAGCAGGCATAATGATTATGCTATTAAGCTGAAAGGAGTAATAATTATGGTCAGAATAATTACCTAAAGTAGGAGGGTTGATTTAACCCCAAAGGAGAGGGTATTAAGGGGAAAAAATGAAAAAGGTACTCACAGAAAGTGTTTAGGTAGCAATACAGGAGCACTAGTAACTGAAGAAATAGATCCGTCCGCTCGTTATTAACACTAAGGCCCAACTCCTAGTATTGGCTGTTGGGGGCAGTGTTACATGCAAAGCGCGGGAAACCAATAAAATACGGCAACAATCCCGAAGGGGAAGGAGTGTTCGCTAGAACCAGCGCTGAAGACAGTGTGTTTGTGGCGAAATGGCCGAACACACAAGGTCGTGTGCCCAAAGCCTTCGTGAGACAATCTCACGAACGCCTCGGTAGACAATAGGCGAAAAGCGCCGTGACAGGGCAATATGAGTTCCAGCAGACGTCCCCGATATTAAAGCTCAGGGAGTCAAAGTTGGAGGAAGCCCTGAGGAGAAAAGACTAATGAATCAATATAAAACCAAGGAAAAGGAAAAACTGTACATGACTGGGTGGAAATCAGAGAGGAGAAACATAAATAATGCAGATATGTAAAATAAGACATCCATTAACTAATAGGAATAAACAACCATAAGTAATAATTATAGTACTGATTACAATAAAATAGCATTAATGATAATTACAAGACAGATATAAAATTATTGCCTCACAGTTAAGGAACCGTGGGATCTGATGTTACTTAACTGAGGGAGCAGCAAAGAAAGAGGAATAGGATTGGTTGAAAACCTATTATGCTGGAGAGAGGAACTTGATTGTCTGTTCCTGTTGCTAAGGAGATACTACTCTCAGACTTTAATGTTATGTACTGGTTATGTTTTGAAAAAATTTTCTTTGCTGTTGAGGGAAATAAAGAAAGAGTGCTGCATAATAGGAGCCTCCGTGTCTTAAAATTTGGAATTTACTTTCAATTCTACATACATCCCCATGTGCAATCCAAAATCATTGTTGAATGTCCCTTAGGTTGTAAAGCAAAGTTCTACAGAAATGCAGCTTTTAGTCCACAAGAGGGATTACTTACGATACATTGTTTTTCTGTCACAGCTGCCATCTTATAAAATGTATTTAAAGTGTTCTCTACAATATGTGATACAAATGCCACCATGTGGACAAAAAGGTTATTACTATCAAGCAAGTGCTTCAGATGATTGTTATATTGGGGAAGTAGGAAGTGAATCTAATTTAGATATATAAATCTTCATCCCTTGTGGCTTGGAGTGTTAATTTGATAATGTATTCAGAGAGTGGAAGGGATGATATGTATGTACAAGTAATTTCAGGTAGCCCATATAGACAGATGGGGCTGAAATTTCTAATTCTCTAACAGTTTGTAGAGAATGATCTTTCTCAGTAAAGTTGGCCCAAGTAAAGGGACTTGAAAATATAGAATAAAAGAGGATAGCATTTTGGAAAGGCAACAAGTAGAAGAGTAGCTGGGGAAAGTTACAAAAAAAAAGTGTGTGGGGGATGAGGGGCCTTATAGAAAGATAAACTAGGAGGGGTGTGTTAAGATGCAAGATTTTGTTATTTAACCCCTTAAGGATGTGTGACATGTCATGATTCCCTTTTATTCCAGAAGTTTGGTCCTTAAGGGGTTAAGGAGTCAAGCCGCATGAGTCTAACATATTTTTTTGAGTAACTAATCCAGGAAGGATTCAGTTTTTTTTCTTCTTCAATACAAATGTGGGCTTTTGTATAAGTATTGTTGTTTTTTTTTTGTTTGTTTTTTAATCCCCATGCATGTAGAAAGTTTTAGGTTTGTTAGGCAATTCTGACCAGTTTCTAATGAAATATTTCAGACTTTGTATAGCCGTCTGAACTCCTAAGGTTTGAAATGTGCTAATATGTTCTGCTGTTGACACGGATCTGTGACAATTTTAGCGGGTCAAGATATGGTGGATGGCAGTCACTGCAACCTATAACATTGGCTGAACTACATGCTAAAGAAGAAGTCAACCTCCACAATACTGCTGCATGGGATCTTCAGGTTTTCTAACCTACCTGGACCAAAGTACAAGGGGCACTGTGATGTGATTGCTCAGCTGTCATGCATCATGAACTGCCAGAAGCACACCCTCCTATCACTGTAAAGGCCACGCTTTGTCATTTTATCATCCCTTTCTACGCCACCTTGAGAAGGGGTGGGTTCTCACTGGGTCATGTCAACTGCTTGCTCCAGGACAAGGAGATCGCCTATGGATGGGGTAACCTCTAGGAGCTCAATGGAGTATTGAAGATGGTCCACAAAACAGAAACAGCTACATTTCCTAGGGAGCTGGGTCTCTGCAATCAACCACAACCAACTGATCAGATGTGGGGAGTATGGCAGTGACCCAAACCTACATGCTGGCCAGCACTCGCCCTCTATCCAATGAGTCTCCCACCTGACAGTTGCAGGACATCTTGCCTTTACCTGACACCACAGGCAGCGGCCTATCCAAGCTCTCACTCACAAATGGGCACTATGGTGCAACAGTTGGCTGTTCATTAACACCTCAATGGTTTTTGTGTTATTTCATGATTTGCATTAGTTTTCTCACCCCTCAAATTTAGCTTTGACGACACTAGCCTTGTTAGTCAGTTTTACAGTTATTGTTATTATTGCCATTTATATATAGGGGCAACAGATTCCGTTGCGCTTTACAATATTTTGAGAGGGGGATTTAACTATAAATAGGACAATTACAAAAAACTTACGGGAACAATAGGTTAAAGAGGACTCTGCTCAATCGAGCTTACATTCTATAGGATCAAGGAACACTATAGGATCAGGGACACAAACATGGTAAAGCTGAGTGAGGTCTTTAGTGATCACAACGCCCAGGTATTTCAAGGCCATATCCGTCAACTAAAATGTGAACCTTTGCTTGAGTGCCTGTTGGATGTAGATGTTTATGATGGTTGATTTTGTGTTATTTATTTTAAAGTTTGAGAGTGTACCATACTCTGCAAATTCCGATATGATGGCTGGTGGGGATAATTCAGGATTAATGATAAAAGATAAGTAGAGATGTCGCGAACCGTCCGCGAACGGTTCTCGCGAACGGTTCTCGCGAAGCTGCCTTCAACACGGATGCTGTCCAGGAGGTGGGAGGGTCTGGGAGTGAGGGTCTGCCGGAGATTGGCAGGGATGTGTCAGCTGACCGGAGTTCGCCACGAACCGTTCGCGAGAAGTTCGTGGACGGTTCGCGACATCTCTAAAAATAAGAGGTCTTCAGCATATGCTGTGACTTGGTGTCTCATCTTACCTGCCTGAAGTCCCAATATATTGGGATTGCTCCTTATTGCGTTTAGAAAGGGTTCGAGAGCAATGGGACGTGTACCCGGAAAGGGTTCTGTGAAGTCTCAGTTGATGCATGCTTGCACTTTAGGCGTCACATATAAGGATCTGATCCAGTCCAACATAAGTGGACCCATACCCACCGTCTCCAGGACCGAGAGCATGAAGCCCCAATCCACTCTGTCAATGGCCTTCTCTGCGTCTGGATAGCAAGAGAAGGCCCTCTGAACAGCGCTTGGCCTGCTGGAGCAGGGAGAGTGTTTGGATAGTATCCCATGCTTCCCTCCTGGTGGATCAAATCAGGCAGGTGGTTCTGCAGCCATTGAGAGCGAATTTTAGTAAACAGTTTCAGAACGCAATTAGGTACGGAGATCATGAAATAATTCACACAGTCCTTTACGTCCTTGTCCTCTTTGGGTATCAGGGAGATATTCACGGCTAAAGTCTGTAGGGGGGATCCGTTTTCCTACACGTTTGCTTTAACTTAGCTCGGCCTCTAACTTTTATCTCTGCATAACAGTTACGGCCAGAGTTAGCTTGGAAGTTGGTCTTGCATTCTAGATTCCGCTTTAATACATAAACATAACGCTTAGCCTCCTTAGCAACCCTTTCTTAAACATACTGCGTTATTGCTCCAATCACCCTAGTGGCTGGTACATTTTGAATGTTTTTTCTATGACCCAGGCTTCAGTGTATGCAACTTTATATCTCTATGTGTATGGCAAAACGTATGTGTTCTGTTACACAATGATATAATGGCATGCAACTGCCACTGTTTAGTCATGTTATCCAAAAATGTGCAGTTACTGCTTTTATTCATACTATAAATAAACAATTTAACAAAAAAAAATTATAGTGTAGTATGGCTCCTGTTAAAGGCTTCTATAAGCACCCAAACCGCTTTATATCCATGAATTACTTTAGTGCAAAAATCTTGACAATGTTCAGAGAAACACCAGTGTTTACATTTTCTCTAAACCTCACCTCACACTAGAGGTACTTCCCCGTTGAAGACATTCAGCGTCATCACGCACAGCATGCTGAATGCCACAAATAATTATCATAGATTGGCTGATAGTGATTGTTGTGCATGCATGCTCCCTAGGTCCTCAATGTTTCTGAATACGAAGCATTGGTTTGGATTGGGATCAATACTATCGATGATCTTAAAGGGACACTATAGTCACCTGAACAACTACAGCTGAATATAGTTCTTTTGCTGCAGGCTTTTTGTTGTACATTGCTACCTAGTATCACCTCTAGTGATAGTCACTCAGACGGCCACTAGAGGTGCTTCCTGGATCCATGCGGCGCTGAATGTTCCCCCTAGAGATGCATTGATCAATGCATCTCTATTAGTAGATGCTGATTGGTGCAGCGCTGCATTTTGCTGCGCATGCGCAATAGCCCCCCGAAGCTTTCCCATAGGGACGGAAAGGGGCCGGTGCAGGTTGACCTGCACGGCACTGGAATAAAGGTAAGTTTTATACTTATTTAAGTGGAGAAGGGAAGCTAAATAGTGTTTTTAACACTATAGGGTCAGGAGTACACGTTTGGCAAAGCGGCTGCTGCAAAGAAACTGTCTCAGTGAGGGACTACAGGTGAGCTTAATGGAACACATAAAAAAAAAAAAAATCTGAAGTGCTTTAGAATGCCTGAAGTCTGTCGTATTTTGACAGTTTATAAAAGTGCTCATTCGAATAGAAATCTACGCTTTCTTAACTTGGGGGCAGAAACATCCCCGTTGTTGTCACTCAAACAGCCAGCAAAGTTTTCTTTTACTTAATTTAGCTTCACAGAGCTAACGGAAGTGGCAGACACTCAGGACTTGAGCAAGCCTGCCTTACCCCTTCTCAATGAATTATACTACAGTTCATTGGGAAGCTGCAATTGCACGTGTTTATTTTTGCGGGTATATCTACTAAC